CAAAAATGGAAACGTTTTCTATTTCTGAGGTTAAGTTCCTTTAAATGCAAAGTTCGTTTGTCTTTTTGTTATTAGTTTTTTATTCTAACCAGTTTATGTTTATGTAGAATATTTTTCTCATAATTGTATTGTGGTAAGTTCTTCTTTTTTCCCTATTTTTAAGAAATGATAACAACTTTATATCAAGCGAGTATGAGAGCGATCTGCGCAGTATTGAACACTACTTAGCAGTAGTGAAAATAGGGCCTGAAAGAAATTCAGGCCTTATTTTCACAACTGCTTAAGTAGTGATTAAAACTGCGAAGATCGCTCTCATACTCGTTTCTCTAACCGCAGTTTAAATGTATGTTTTTCATATATTCGTTAACGTTAACTTTATATCAATGACTACAAGTTCTGTAACTGTTAGACTTATTTACAGAGTATTTCTCTTCCACAAATACGCTGTAATTGCTGGACTTTAGATGGTCTTAGCAGTTCAAATAATTAACTGTGTTTGCTGGAAAAATCAAATTTCACTCAGTTTCCTCCCCACTTTTGTATCCCTCGGATACCCCGAGTTTTTATATTCCGGGGAAATACTTTTAACATAACAAGTATTTATACCTCGCCTCCCCATTTACACCCAAAAACCGTCAACATCGCCTCCGCCCCCCGCCCCCCCAAGTTGAAACTGAGATGTGTACATTTATATCCCCAAACAAACCTATTAGGTCCGTCTACTTCCTCTTCACTTAACGATCCCACGGAGCCTTGGTTCCCCCATGTGTCCTCCGCACCTGGGGTACGTCTCTTTCTCACATACTTGGACATCTGGGAACCTTGCCGTGAAACTTTGGTCTTTTTCTGCAAAACGCAAGTAAATAAGCAATAAGATATCATGGATGAGATGTTCTGAGAGTGGCGGGCTTCAAGCCGACATCGTGATAAATTCAGCGTCGTAGAGAATCACGTTCGATCGAATGAAGTGTTTTTTAAGGTGGGAGAACACCAAAGACCCGAGACTAAACAGAAAAGGAAGCAGGATGGCTTAAGATCGAAAATATTTACACATATTGCAAAGGACAATCTGGTGAAAGTTAGGCCCACTAACCGAGAAGATGAAGTCAGATTTTTAAGATGAATACAGAAAAACCTTTTCCATCGCTCTAAACAATTCCACCCAAAAGTAAAGAATCACTAACTTGCACGTCCTTTATTTAAAGGTGCTAAAGTGACAAGGATTTTTAGAGCTTCGAACGGTTTAACACGTACGTGAACGGCAAAAACGAGTACGTTAAAAATGTGAAATTTAATATCGAATCCCGAAAGAGTGTCCCTTCATTCGAAAGCAAACGTGACAATAAGCTGGCTTCATTCTATTCCCAGTTTCGTGCACATCATCGCCAAGAACTGACGTTATCAAGTAGAGGCTCTGTAGAGTCGAATGATGTTTATCAACTTCATTGATTTTCACTTTCTTAACCACATAAATATTTCTTCAATTTGCTGTCCGTAGGGACGTGACACTCTAGTCCGCATAGCTCTGGGAAAAACCATCCCTTTTGTTTGCACAGGAACTCATTTCCCTTCATGCTTTTTGTATTTTGTTTGTATCACGAGCCAATCAGGAAGTGAGGAGAAGTTTTTATATTTGACGAAACCATTCCCTTCGCTTTCCACTGGGTAAATAAGGCCCTGGGATCAAGATTTTTTTTCTTCTAAGCGGTTAAAACGTTTAAAGATGTTTACACTTTTTTACATAAGAGAAGCAAATTGTTGTAGGCTCTCCATTTTTTTTTTTTTCCATCAGTGAAAATATGCCTTCAGAGCAAAATCACTTTAACAGTTTCTTCAGCTACCAACAATCAACTTGAAGTAACTAATAGTGTTTTAAACTTCTGTTACGTTAAGTAGCCAAAATTGTATGGTTCATTCTAGTAGATCTTTGATGACATCGTGTGCGACGTTTAAACTTAACTGCATTAACCTCCTTTTTTTTTAACTCATTGTTCACTTTTACTTTACACGCAAAATACTTTAAAGTCAAAGAGTGAGTTTTCACACGTTATTTGCACAAGATCGTTGGAAGTCAACTTACACTATGACTGAGAAATGTTAGTTTAAGTAGAAAGTGAAACTTTTTAATTTAGTATTTTATCTTACCTCGGCTTCTTCAATCTCATCACTGAGACTGCCATATCCTCTTTCCTTTTTCTGTTTAATAAGCAGTACTTATTAGGCCACTTTAATCCACTTTATGCTTTATGAAAGACTCTTACATTTCGCAGTTTACTTCGAATTTATCGTAGTCTGCAAGTTTGTGCTTATGTAAATGCAGAAGCCCTCCTCAACAGCCCAAGTAGATCATAGATTTTGTCAGAGTTATTGGAGCGCATTTCGATTGAGCGTTGTAAAACCAAAACCGAAATAATCACAGTGGCCACTCATAAGAAAGGAATAGACCTTTCAGAGCCAATGAGAATTCAAAGTAAAACCAAGCAAACTGCCTAAAGCGCGGGAAAACGCGAGACACCAAATCGTGATCTGATTGGTTGAGAGAGTGGCAGAGCTTTTCCGGACCAATCACAGAGCAAACAAAGTAATTGCGGTGAAATCCCGGATTACTCTCGACACTTTATCAAAAATTTCTTTACAGAAGGAAAATCAAAGTAAAAGGTGAATTAGGTTACACAACCTTGTGTTTCAGGAAAGTTACTTCGTATGTTTAAATGGTACACCATCTTTGCTTACGTTGGTGAGGTTAGTTCAGCGTTTTTTAGCCTGATGCCTGTTAGCGCGAGAGTTTTAAAAGCCTCATCGCAGCCGCTTTTTGAAGAGTCACGCAACAGTAGGAGGAAACTTTTCTCCAAAACGGCGCACCGATCAACAATGAATGGAAAAGAGGCCTCGAAACAGGGAATCGTGTAGTCCAAGTACGAAATACCGCGATGATGGAACGTCCATGATTTGAATAAATGAAAATGTGACATTGCTCATATTTAAATTTCTATAGATTCCACATTCATTTCCTCTTCTGAAACAACTCTATGCAAAATGAATTTCTGGAAGATTACAAAACGAACATGCTTATTTTGAAGCTGGTATAAATTTCCGATAGAAATGAATATTTGCTGCCTAAGGTTGCAGCTGCCATCCTGGAGAAGGATCTCTTGTGACATGACTATTTAAACAGCGGCCACTTATGAGAGATGGTTACGAGGTAGCCCATGTAAAGTGGCCCCCTAACCTTGAAGGTTTTGGGGCTGCTGTACCAAGACTAGTAACTAAAAGAGTTTAAAATAATAAGAAGCCATTAAAAAATTAAGCCAAAATAACATCGAAACTCAACTCAGAAAAATTAAAACTTCAGCTTTAAGATTTACTAGAGAAATCAAAGTATTTAACTTATCAGTGTAAGGCAAAGATTAGTTGTTACTTCTCATCAAAAAATCATTTAATTCCATGAGGTATTTATCTCCCATTGAAAACTAATCAAAACACCCTCTAATACTCGTGGACGAGTTAATGAAAATGTTAAGGTTAATGAAATAAAAGAATAAAGTAAATAAAATAAAAAATTAAACAAAGCCAAAAAAATCAAGAAATACGTACAGCCATTAGCATCTGCGGCGAATCCCATGGAAAGGTCCAGCACATGCGCATTTGGTAGGCATTGACAAAAATAAGTCAGTCAGTTAGAGAGAATGATTATCATTATAATATATTAAAATCTCATTAATTCTGAATGTATGCTTCTACAAGTATTCTATCTAAATCATCACAAGTCAAGTTTAGTTGGGTAACTGTGCCATAGTTAATAAAGTAAGCATGTTGGCAGAGTCAATTTCCCTTTTTTATCATTCACAGCTTCTCAATATATGAGTAGTAATTATGAGAAAGGGTATGTGAACGGCGAGATGATGCGTGATATTTTACGAAGCTACTTAAGATAATATGGAAAGTCATTTGGTCAAGTTATCAAAACAGCTTTGTCAACTTCTCAACCGGTTAAACCAGTTTACGGCTTACCGCTTGATGTGCAGCCTCGATTGCATCCTTGTCATCTCTGAGCTTCTGATTCATATCCCTTTAACAAAAAGTAGCAAAAATAAACAAGGAGTGAGTTTCAGGTGTAGGTAACAAGTTTCAAAGACAAACAAGTATTGATCGCAAAGATAGCTAAAACAATATGGCACAAAGATAGCTACAAAACACGATGGTATAATAAACAACTTTCTCCCCACCTATGGCCAGTTTTTGGTTCCGTCTTAGGGACAAACAAAGTTTTTCAGAAAGTTGTATTTGGCCCTCTTTCCCCAAAATGTCTACAGCCGAATGGCTGCGCAACGTTAGAATGGCCAACCTTCGTTTCCCTTTTTTACTTCGAAAGAATTACCAAAAACAAAAAGGGAAAGGGAGCGTAACAAATCTGAAGTACATTAACTCCGACCACAGCGTACCCCAGAAAACTGCTCCTCATGGAGCAATTTATAGCAAAGGAGTTCTGTATGTTGCAAAGACGACTCTATTACGCAGCCCCTTTAATGACAGTAACTAAAGGGTAGGCTTAACCCTTCACATCCTAGCATTAGTCTGCATATTCTCCATGCTGTTCTCTATACATTTCCTAAGGTGCTGACAAGGATAATTTGTTGAACAATCAAGAGCCTCTTTAGTTAGCGATCATTTCTTCTATTCTCGTGACATTTACGGTATGATTCAGGGGTGATGTAGTAGGGAGAAATTAGACTCAAGTCGCTCTTGGGAGTCAAAGAGCTAACCGCATCTCAACGAGAGACATTGAGCTTTACTTGAATTGCTGTAATTGAACGTCGTCTTAAATAAGCAATGTAGCTGTGTTACCTGAGCATATCCAGCTGCTTGATGAGACTTGCTTGTTCCTTTTGCATACCTTCTGACACTCGCATAGCCGCCCTAAAACGCAAATGTGAAACTCTGTTATCGAATATTCAACCTCTGCCTAAACAAAGCGTCCATTGCACGGCTTCCTACTTACGAGCACCCACCAATTGCAAAATTGTTGGGAACATAAGCCTCTCATCTTACAAAAATGAGCTATCACTTGCAAATGTACTTGGCCGCATTCTCTAAACCCCATTTACTGTTATTGATTTACGTTTGGAACAAATTTGTAACCAGAGGTAACTTTTACATGGAGCTAGAAGAGAATTGGGTGTCCAGATTGACCGATGCATAAATGTCTCAGAGCATCAATAACGTAGGACATATTGGTTACTTCTACCACGATTTATACGTTATAATAACATTTAGATTAAGGCAAGATGACAAAAAAAGCGCTCACTGATTGACTGAACCGCTGGAACGACACGTTTCTGCATCAAATAAAGTTACACCCAGAAACATTAATGACATTTTTCTCGCAAATGAAGTTATCACTTGCTTTACTTCTTACTAGAAAGGCGGACAGCCATAATGATATTTACGTTTGACAATTGAAAGAAAAGAGAGAAAGAAAGAAAAGAAAATACCCTCTCTCAAGATCACTTGACACTTCAGTAGAATTGCTCACGAGCGGATGTTGTTCAGCGCAATTTCCACAATCACACAACATGGCTTGACAGCCTTTGTCTGAGAAATCTACAACTACAGAAGAGCCTACTGGCGAAAGTGGTTCCACAGCTTTACTTTTGCAAAGGTCTGTTTCGTCCATTCCATGGAACAATTGAAATTCCATAAAGGATTCCTCGGTAGTGTCGGGGCTCTTGCCATAAGTGGCTGGACGATGGCGGGATGCCATCTGATTTGACGGACTGGAGATCTCTAATTGCGGTTCACTGCTTGCAGCAAGAGATAATTCAAAGTCTTGAGAACCAATTGGCCCATCAATGGAAGACTTCGAATCCGTATCGTCCAAACCAAATGGTGTCGTTTGGCATGCTTTTGACAAAATTAAGAGGATTTCGTCATCCAATTGCGTCTGGCTTTCTTTATTCTCACAGGCCACAGCTGTGTCTAAAGTTGTCGTCTGGCAGAGTTTTGAAGATGTAAGGAGGATAACTCTCTCAGGCTTTGTTTGACTTCCTTTGTTTTCACAACTTATAGTAAGCTCATTTCGATTAAGAGGGTCAGAAGACTTGTTTCTCGGCTCATCACCAACCACTTTCATCGTCTCAGAACGGTCCCATAATGGATGATAAAGCTCAGTGATTGAGTCAGAAATTGTTTGGCACTCTACGCTGGTATGACTGATGCTTTGATCACCTTTAGAGCTTCTGGTAACATCAGCAATGTCCAATGCTATTTCGTCCATTGTCTGGCATTCCTTTGACTCGGTTCGACCGACGGGGAGAGTTTGACATCCTTTGCTGACGATTGTTGGTTTACTTTCGTTCCCAGCGCTTGTAGTTTCGAAAGAAAAAGTCTGACAATGTTTGGACGTCGCCAATAGAAGTTCAAGGTCATGCACTGTTTGACACTCTTTTGTAGCGAAGGAAACAAGCCGTGATGTCTCGTTTACTCGTGCAGCTAATTCACCAACACAAGTGAAGGGAAGTATGTCGCACTGGGCTGATGATGATACGAGCACAACATCGGATGATGTTTGCATTTCTTTGTCCGAAACGTCAACCTGATGATGTGATCGTAACACCTGAAAGACCTCTGCTCCACTAGTGGATAACAAAAGGCACTTCTCAGATGTCTGACATCCCTTGCTTTCAAAGGAAATTTCTCTAACTGCTTTACTTCCGATAATCGTGGCACTACTTTGATGAAACAGTAATTGTGAAAGATCTTCACTTGATGGACTTGTCTGACATTGTTTTGTTGACGTTGAAATATTTCCATCTTCGGAAATGGTACGAGATTCTCTGTTAGTGTATCGGCATTCCATAGATAGCTTATCTTGGAAGTCGAATGATTGAACTATGCCTCCGCACTTGACGCAACAATTTGTAGGTACCTCCGTTTGACATTCGATACTTTGGTTTTGCAATGTTCCTCTTAGATTAGGTAAGTCACTGACCATATTAGTTTGACATTCCTTATTTGTAGCACCGTTCAAAAAGGAGGTCTGGCTTTCCCTTGATTCATACTTCCGGAAATTTTCCTGTAAGAGTTCTACTTGGCATTGCTTGTCAAGAACCTGCATGGCTGAATAGTTTGTATAGTGTTCATATAATTGTCCAGTTTCAGACTTTTCTTCCAAGTCAGATAGCAAGAATGTAGCTGGATTGGCTACAGGTCTTCGATCAGGAGCATCTTTTCTCTCCAAATTGGCATCTGTATCATAAGAACTCTCATTTTCATTTGGTGATTCAGTGCGATCACATCCAAATGACGAACGTCTGCTTGCGACGTCTGCTGGTTGCACCAGGTATATTTTTCTTGTTTCATTTGGTCTAAAGATTTTCTCACTCAAAAAATTGGTTGTCACATCTGCTTGGGCGTCACCCTCAATTTTCATGTCGACCTCTCCTGAACTTGAGTGGCTGTTTCCAGGATATATCGGGTCCGTTGCATTGTTGCCATAGCCCTCGAACAACTGATCTGCAGAAGAGTAAACATCCTCTTCATGAGTACAAGAAATCTCCTCTACCTCATTGCCTCTCATTTCCTCGTCGCGGACTGGACTGTCATCTGTGCTTATGATTTCTGGGGATGCAGAGGGACTTGAACCTATATTCTGTTCGAGGAATACGACGTTTCATTGGACTGATTGATCCCTGTTATGCTTCACGCTCTGAGCTCCGTCCTCCCACTGACTACAGTTGTCAGTAGAAGCTACAAAACAAACATTCTCAAATACGCAAGTTTCGTTATTGCTAAATTCACTGTCTTCGTGATCAATTTTAGGATTAAAAGAATTTGCATCTTGCTTGTCGTAGCCGCCAAATTCCTCCGAAGAGCTATTAATTCTTGGTTTATCATAAGAGTATCTATACGGCGTGTTGACGACCTTCTCTGGTCGTGAAGTTTCTGTCGAAGTGGAAATTACTGTTGACAAAGTTAGGACTTTTCTACTATCATTCGTCTTAAGGACAGGTTCTGTGAACGAATTGAGTGATTGTAGCTTTTTCTCAACATCTTCATCAGTATCTCGCACTTCATTGTCATTATTTAAGATTAACGAATGGCCTGTGGAGAAAGCTTTAGACTCAATGTCACACCACGCAACTTCTTCTTCTCCTGGAAGGACATGGCCATCCAGGTTTTCCTTTCCGGTAGAGTCGAATAACTTGGGGTCCTCCCCATCGCTATTTTCACCCCCATTTTCTGAAATCAGTACTTTTTCCAGAATCTCGCTTTCCAATTTTGGTTCTGAAGAGGCGTACGTCTCCTTAGAGGACACATTCAAATAACTTTGAGGGTTTTTTGTCTTGATTTTCGATATTTTGTCCGTGTGTACCAACTTTTCCTTGCCTCCGAAATCTGGCTCTGAAGGTGCGGGACTCTCTTTAAAAGGAGGTGTTGTTAAGGAACTTTGATGATCTCTGGCGCTAGTTCTCGGGTTTTCCTCTATCAATCTACTCAACTCTCTTCCTTCCAATTTCGGTTCTGAAAGTGAGGACGTGTCGATAAAAGACGGCGCGGTCCGAGAACTTTGATAACGGCTAGAAAAGGATTTCGGCAATTCAGCAGCAGTCAATAACACGTGTCCACTGGCTTCCAACTTTCCCTTTGAAAGCGTGACACTTTCCTCAGAAGATGACGCTGTTAAGGAGGTGGGATGACTGCCAGAACTAATTTGTGGGATTGCTTCTATCAATCTTTTCCGTTCATCGCCTTTTATCGCTGGTTGTGAAAATGTGCTTCTCTCTGGATAAGTAACGTCTGCCAAAAAACTCTGATGGTCGCTACAACTGATTTCCAGACTCTTTTCCGTTAATACACTCCGTCCACTGCCTTCCAATTTTGGTCCTGAAGATGCGATAGTCTCCAAAGGTGTTATCAAAGAACTCCGAGAACTGATGTCAGGGATTTCTCCTTGAATTTCGCCATGGGATTTCCCCTCCACCTCTGGCACTGAAGTGGTGGCCCTCTCCATAGAAGGCGGAATCAAAGACCTCCGATTATTGCTTGAACTGAATTGCGGGATTTCTTCTGTTAATCTCCTCTGTCCACTTTCTCCCAACTTTAGCTCAAACGTTTTGGCATCCTCTGCGAAAGAAGGACCGGTGAGAGAACGCTGAGGTTCCTTTATTTCTCTCGATATCCCCTGTGTTGATGCAAAATCATCCTCTGACTCTGGAATAAAAGAGATACTTTTTTCGTCATGGTCGGAGGCAAGGGCTCGATCTGTCGTCGATTCCTGTGATGAAGTAGATCTCAACGTTCCTTGACTGCTCGTCGCTTCTACATGATACGAAGCATTCAAATGGTCGCTCTTCACAAATGTTACTCGGCTAACATCTCCTTTTGAAGAGTTCGCACTTCCATGATCTTTCTCTGTGTGGAAATGTCTTTTCGAAGCTTTCTCTCTGCTACAAGACGTTTCCTGGTACAAACGTCTAGGATATCGAATGGTCGTTGTCTGGTGTCCTTCTGGTCTGTCGATAGAGTTCCGTTTTAAATGTGGTACAGTCGCACTGAAAGGTTTCAAAGAGAATTCACTCTTTACCGTTGGACGGCGCTCGTCTCTCTCAGAATAAGTTTTTGAAAGAGGCTTTATTTTCCTGGAGTGCCCAGTTTCACGTTTTTCTTCCTCGGCCGCTTTTTTCTTAGTTTCGCTCTGTGAATCAAGAAAAGAAGGGAAATCCTTTCTTTTACGTGGTTGCTTTGTAATTTCCATATCGTTTTCAGGACTATTCACAGAAGCGGTGTCCTCCTTTGGTTCCAAACCAATACCTGGTGTCCTCTCAGGTTTTGAGCTGGCACTGTTCACTTCATCTCTCTGATATCTCGTATCATTTGCCGTCCAGTTATCATCTGTATCCATCCTCTCTTCTGTTGTTCCACATGAAGGAGTTGGACAGCCTTTTTCTTTTCGGGTGGCCTTAGCAGCGATGTCACCAGCACTTTTAGATGAGCTATCATATTCAGTGAGATCGGCACCTTCGCTCTCATTAGCTGCATCTAGCGCAACACCTTGATTCATACGCCAGTTTTCAGTCGTAATTAAGGAGTTTTTCCCTAGACTTTCAGAAGAAGGAACTTCATTATCGTGCCCTGCAATTCCTTCTCTCAAATAGTTACGAGAAACTTCGCTTGATTTGAAAACATCTAAACAAGCTTGATTGCTTTCAGAAATCTGGCTTAGGGTGCACTTTTCTTCACTGGAATGCTCGACATTGTCCAAATCAGATGCGAGCGCCACGCCCATTTGACCTTCTGGATACGGTCCACCATTCTTTTACAGACATACAGCTTTCCACTCAGAATCACTATCGCTGCCGACCAGGAGGGAAGTCCTAATAGACTCATTTATAGTCTGTTTAACAGGGGTCAGTAATTCAGTCTTTCTTGAGACAGCGCTATACTCAACTGGTGTACTTCCCTGTACTTTGTCAATTTTCAACTGCGCTTCTGGAATGGAAAATTCTGTTCTTGATTCAAGACTTCCACGTTCTGTCCGATCTTGCTGATCACTACTGAGATCTAATGAATAGGTTGCAGAATCAAAGGTTGAAGAGGGTTCCTGAATATTGACAAATTCATCTGTATGTAGCCCGGACAGGTCCTTTGATCTCCCGTCTCCCATTTCGTGTTGTCTTTCCGGATATCTTGCATACAATTCTTCTGTTGAAAATTTTGAAGCTTTCGTTTTGTCTTTTCCGTTCTGCAAACCCTGTTGCTCTACTTCACTCGGCTTCCTCCGTTGTCTTCGCACTTTTGGGGTCTTACCTATGGCCTTAACACTGACATCTATCGGTCGTTCTGGAGCACCTGAAATGCGCGACTCTAAAGCGGTGCCTCGTTCATCTTTTTCACCGGTGATCGACCTCGCCATTGAATGTACAAGGAAGTCTTGGTCCTCTTTTTTCGCATTTTCCAGCTGTTTTTGCTTTACTCGTTCGTTTCTTGCATCAGTTGAAAATCGTTTCCAGGCGCCACTTGACGGAGTGACTTCCACTGATTTAGAAAAGGCTTTTATCCTATCTTCCCTGGTCAAGTAGCCATCATTTTCACCACCACCATCATTTTGACTTGCCGTTTGAGAGAGATGATCTTGTACAAAATGTTTCTTTCCGTCAAAGGCTGTCAAAGTGCCGTTATAATCATTGGAGTTTTCCATGTTATGACTGAGGTTTTCTCGATTAGGATGAAGCTCTATTGTATTGCAGCCTATTCCACTATCTTGATCAACGTCAGGAGGATTTCCTTGAGTTCCAAACACTCCAAATACGATCCTACCGCCACTCTCTTTGCTTCTTTTGTTTTTGGCTCGTGTTCCCTCCGTGCTCTCAGCACTTTTTGTTTCATCTCTACGAGTCAGAGCTTCTTCCAAATCTCGTGGATACTGTGGATAGCTCCTCGACCTGGGATACGATTGCTGCGAAACATCATTGCGAAACACTCTGACAGCAGGTCCACCAGAAAACCCTGACACCACACAAGCCATAACTCCTTCGTCACCTTCTTTTCCTCCAGATTCTCGTCTCTCTCGGGAAGGCTCGTTGCTGTGCCTTTTATGGCGATCCTTGTGGCTGAGCCTGGTGGGAACGTTTCTTTTCATTCTTTTGCTTCCACGTTTTCCAACAAGCGCGAAACGCACAAAACTACTGTCAGCACTGCTTGTAGATGAATAGCCATCTTCAACAACTTCCGGGCTGTCACGTAATTCTGAATCTTCCGAAAACAAATCATCCAAGCTGTCATGTATTCTGCGTGACGTCTTTTGTAGGCCGTCAGGAATGACCTCTTGACCATGAAACCAGGGGACTGAGCTAATATTACCCTTCTCTTCAATACAGCCCGAAGGAGCAGAAGTTTTGATGCCTTCTATATGTTCCCGAAAATGTCCAGTCTCGTTTTGGTGTCTGTTATTTCCTTCTGAGCCGGCTTCGCTTGAAAAGGACTCAAGGGTCGGCGCATTTGAATCACTCTGTCTTTTCGAGCTTGATCTCTTATGCAAATAGTAATTAATCTCATTTTCTTCGTATAAACTTTCCTGGCATCCATCACTCAAAAATACCGAATCTTCTAGAGAAAAATGGCTGGGAATTCTATCTCGGTTGTAGCGTTGCTCGGAGTTACTGGAATGACTTCGACTTTCCGGCCTTGATTTCGCAATTTCCTTGTCATCACTCGTGAATGAAGTTTCACTGCCGCTGCTCAGAACATTAACGTACTCCAGATAAAATTCAGAAACCTCTCGCTGACCCTGAACTCCAGGAGAACCGTCATCGACATATGCGTCAATCGCAGTAAATTCTGGAGATTTCTCTGAAAACGAACCAGATTGCAGAGATTCCGTCGCTGCCTCACTCAAGTCGTTCATACTAGATGTGGGCGACTCATGGTAGACAACGTTGACGAAACGGCGAAACTGGGAATCCAGTCGACTTACGTAAGTTGGAGCAGTTGGCGAATAAGACATCTGAGCTGTTCGTATACCAATCGCACAAATACAAAGACGACAAAGCTTTTAACAAACTGTGAAGTTGTTCATACTTCTGTGGCGAACGAAACACTACAAAAGATTGTGTAATCCAAGGCTTTACATGGCATTTATCAATCAATCAACTTTGATAACGTTTTGATGAGA